TGTAGCCAGTGAATTTTGAAAGTTCATTGGCTTTGAAAACAAACTTGTTACAAAGCCAGTTTTTGACATCATGTTTGAAATATGCTACTTGTACTTGATCAGGCAAGCCACACCTATGGAGGGGTGAAAAGCCTTCTCTCATACAGTCCTGTTGAAGCTGAGCAAAGAAAAAAAAATCTAACCAAAAACCCCCCTAAAAATTATACATGAAAGCAAGAAATCTTGATAAATAAACAGAAAGAGTTTAAGAAAAATCTGTTTTCAAATTCCAGAGTGAGAAAGGTTGCTGTTTGACAGTCCCACAGAACCGTTAATAGCCCATGGTCTGGAACACTGTAACTATACGTCTTTATCAGCTACACTGAGGCAAAAACATTAAATTGAGGATGTGTCACGATGCCTTGTGAAAGTAAAATATTGACCTACTTACTTTATATTTCTATAATGTCTTGTCTTTCAATGGAATCAATAGGAGAATTTTATTTTAGCATTTCTGACATCTTAACTCTTTATTCCTTTCAGAAAAAGGTCTCACACCACCTTGCATAATCAAAACATTTAGAAAGGTAGAATTGTTTATGCTGTCTGGGTTAAGTCTGAGATGAGTTATTTAACTTCTTTAGCTATGTTGTAACTTTAGAGGTTTATTTTAGTATTGAAAATCAGTGTGGGAGATATCACTTTTACAACACTGTGCCCAAACTGGAATGGTTCATGAATAATTGGAAACTTGACACCTTTGTGGGCTTTAACCTCCTAGGACCTGGCGTCCACATATGTGGACATCACATTTTGGGTTATTTAGACCAAAATACTAAATTTTGCTCTACAAGGGCCTGATATCCACTTACGAGGACATTATACTGCTACTGTTCTATCAAAATTTTAAACGAATATCTTCATATGTGGCTCTCATTTTTCTTAGAAACAAAAAATTAGGTAAAAAAAAAAAAGAAATCTGGTAATTCTTTGTTTTTACATTCATCAGGTCCCAATCAGCCCAAATATCAAAGATAAATTAAAAATGCATGCCATGAAAGAGTTCGGGTCTTAGGAGGTTAAAGCAGTTCAATCAGGCCATCTCAGTATAGAAACAATGTTAGTGAAGGTCACAAATGATATTCGTATGGCCTCTTATCTTTGTGTTTGTCCTGCTAGACCTCAGCACAGCATTCAATACTGTTGATCTTGATTTTTTCTTACAACCATTAGAGCATACCATAGATATTAAAGCTATTACATTGCAGTGGTTTGAATTATATCTGAGACTTAAATTTGTTCATGCAAGTGGTGAGTCTTTCTCATATGCTTCGGGTCATTATGGAGTTCCACAGGGTTCCGTGCTAGAACCAGTTCTATTTACATTATACAGGCAGTATGAAGGCGAAATATACATCTTCACTTCTATGCAGATGATACCCAGATTTCATCCATGAAGCCAGATGACACACACTACTTTATATCCATCACCAGAATGAAGGCAGTATTTTTGATTTGGACTTCAGGGTAATCTTAAATGTATTATCCCACTCAGAATTAATGGACTACTTCTTTGCCAACAATTGATCATTGCAGTCATTTTCAAGAGAAAAAAAATGAGAGTTCATCGTGTACTCCATTGTAAAGATTGTATACTTTTTTTTCTCATACTACTACCGTATTAAATTAAATTTTAGCTTTGGGATGAAGATTCTCTGCGTCATTCTTTGAATCTTACATGAAGCTAAATACTAACTAATAACACCTTCTTACTTTAGACTTAGACTGGATATATATTTCACTTTTCTTTCATTTATCTAATAAATATGCTGCAAGTTAGACCGACAACATATAAAATGTAGTGCAGGTCTAATATAACCTCAAGCCTGTGTAAAAATAGGTAATAAAACCTCACATCACCAATAATGCCATTGGTGTAGATCAGAAAAATCCGCAGATCACCTCATGGCTATCAAAGAATGACTTAATTAGGACACTTTTTGAGGTTAGGTTGGTATTAGTGGGCTTCACTTTAAGGAAATCTAGCTCACTTAACCAATGTCCTTATGAGGATGGTTTTGCGTGTCCTTGCCGGTAAATCGCGCGCGTGCTCCTATGCATACGTGTGAAAGAAAACTAGAGACTGAGTGGGGTAGAGAGGGTCACAGGGAGACACGGAGAGAAAAAGGGGTACGGTATAGGCTGCATCTTCAGCCAACGAGAGTTGGCATTCCCATGCAGAAGGAACAAAGAGGGGGGAAACGGGTGGAGGTGGGTGGGGGAGTAAAGCGCCGAAGAGTGAGGTGAGGCAGAGCTCATTCAGTGGGATCGTTGAGCTGCGGAGCTCCTCGGATTTTACTAACAGAAAATCCCTGTTTGGTCTGTGAAGCGCTCCTGTCTTGGAACGCAGTGCGCTCTGAATCTCGCGGTGGCAGCCCCTCTCTGAAGCTGATGAAATAAGGTCCTGTACGGGGACAGCACCAAAAACTTTTTTTTCGCCGCGATTTGCTGCAAAGGTAAGACAATGATTGGCATTTATTTTAAACATGCAAATAGCATACGTAAACACAAACAGGTTGATTATTAACGAGTGAGTGGCTTTTCTTTGGCGTCACATCCAGTTGGTTGTTCATCACCACAACTTACAGGTAAACATAAGTAATTGCTTTGAGAAACGATTACAGGTGCACCTGATATACATGCTAGTAGGTAAACCATTTCAAAAAGCTAACTGGTTGACAGATTTCCATCTCTCCCCCTTTTCATTAACATTTTTGTTTGTTTGTTTGTTTGTTTTTACATTCATATCGCAGCTACTCCAAAGGTAAAGTGACAACCTGCAGTGAAAAGTCCCACAAGGCCGACCGTCAACAATAAGCTTGAGCTGCAGATTAAATTGCAGCAGTGAAAAGGGCTAAATATGCTCACATTTCTCTTCGGATCGCGAAAATGGCAAATGTTAAATGAAAGTCGGTTGGACGAGATGTAGATAAACGATGTAAAGAAACATTACAGTGGACGGTTAAAAATAAACCCGGCTTTGCAATGGTCAACACTTTGATACCTAACATTTCTGGACACAATTCTGAGGATGGCCCGTGATTATTCTAATAATTATTATTCTAATTAACTGGCAGCTGAGCCAAAAGCAGCACTCTGTGAAGGTGGCTGTCCTTGTTTTCCTTCATCCAAACGCGAAACGATTCCCATTTTATTATTGTTTAGAGAAATTCAGATGAGTTAAGCGCAAATCACATAGAAAAAGTAGATTTTATTGTAAATAGGTGCTGTGACATATTTTTTACAGTTCCATTATAAATTTTGGTTTGACACCAGGTGTAACTGCGTACTAATGAGCAAACCGTGTTTTTCTTGTGTGGCCTGTGTGATTCTGAAGATAAAGCCAACAAGTTGTAGCCTGTGTTGCAGCTTCTTATAAAGTATTTTATTGTGGAAAATCTATTCGTAGCCTCGTAGAGGTTTCAGGTGTCGGCAGCCTCTTGCATTTACAAGACGACCATGCATTTGAGTAATATATGAACTCCTCCCTTAAAAAAAACAAAAAAACAAAAAAACCCCGAAAATATCTTATAGCGAGCTGTCGCCTCCCACCCCTTTCCCCCCTTCTTACCTTTGGATACAAACGCCACCCCATCTGAAACCAATCCTTGCAGCACTCTTCCTTATGATATTAAAAGGAATGCACATGGGCGTTGGGGTGTGAGCCCACACAAACACACAGTTTTCCAATCGCACCATCAATGTCACCATGGAAACCAATTCTCTTGGCACTCTCAGTTGATCGCCTTCTGCATTAATCTCGGATGGTCTTGAAAACGGTTACAGGGTTACAGGTTTATGGATGCTTCTGTCAAAAGCATGTTGATCAAACCTAGACAGGGTTTGGCGCTTCGCCTGAGTGCAGATAAGTCTATATGTTTGGGTTTAATGGGCATGTTTTCTTCCATCGGTGGGCCTTGTGAGAGGAACTGGCTGTACCATGAGGAGACATGATCGCTGAGGTCTTGACCTTCATTGTAATTGCTACGAGAATCTGTAAAGCAACTGTTCATGCAGCTGATCCATATTGGCAAACTATTGCACTGTGGCATTTTTCTGCCTTACATGACTGAACCTGACACACATTCAAGGCAAACCCACACATGCAGCTGGGGGAGGGATCATTTATATTTGCAAGCATATGTCTTTATCATGTCATGCGGTTTCACACTGTGAAGTGCAGCCATAGCATTTCACATAAATGAAAATTTGCATCCACATCAATGTTTGTATGATGCATATATTTAGCATCCACTTATACAGAAGAAATTAATAACACGTTTTGTAGGCACTGTATCTGTCAGTTCAATTTTGAATCTTCCTTTCCTGCATTTGTTAGGAATTAATTAGGATCAAAAACTAATTATTTCTAGGGTGTTTATGATTTTTTGTTACAAGACAGGAAAAGGAATTTTCTCTCTTTCTGTGCTTTTCAGCTTATAGAAATGGTCAAAGTAACACTGTTGAAAAGACAAATATTGCAACTTTAAAGACAATTTTGCAATGACTATCAAAAATGTAAAATTGTAATAAATATGTTTAAAATATGTTTTAACTCTCGGAAGTTTGGAAGCTCAAAACATGTAATAAAGGAGTTGCCAGTTGTCATGCATGTGCACGCACACACAAAAAACACGCAGTGCAGACACACACATGCACATCAAAGATCCTGCAGCATGGCCAATCTTGCTCTAGAAGTGAAACAAGTCAAAAGTATATTTTGCCAAAGCTGTTATCCTTAACATCTGTCAAGATGCTACTTTAATTAGTGAAGACAACATTCGTTGCCCTCAGGGCAGGACAGATGTTTAGGTTAACACTCACATGCACATACACGCTCACATTGTTGTGGAGAAACCGGCTGAAGGCAAATCATGGCGCCTTGTCAAAAAATCCATGCGTCGATTGACTGATATCTTCTTCAGGGACTATCTTCTTTAGTGCAAATTAAATTCCACCAATCAATCTCAATAGTTTTGAAACTTGATAAAGATCTGTTGTGCTTCAGAATTATTAGAGAAGGAATCCAGTAGATAGATTTTTTTAATGTACTCAGTTGACTGGGAACAGTGGACCAACTAAGCAGTCAGCAGTATTTAGACATGAACTGATTCAAAGAAAATTCAAGCTATGTGGTGGAATAAATAAAAACAAACAAAAACAAACAAACAAACAAACAGGTGAAAAATCACCCACTGAAATCCAAAGCACTTAAGTTTTTGCCAGACAAACTGAGGTTTTACACTGTGAGAAGTGTGAGGTAGAGTGTGAGAGAGTTAACATGTGGGAGTAATAGGAAGATAAAATGCTGGGGAGGACAGAGAGTAATACATAGAAGTCTTTGTTTTCAAATTGATAAATGATGGAGTGGGTGAGCAAGGGAGAAGGTGGGGTTGTTTCCCCTCCTTGAGACCGAGGTATCTCGAAGCACTTAGAAGATGGGGCCAGAAGCACTTAGAAGATGGGGCCCATGTTACCTGTCTGGGGCTGGGCAAGTCAGACCTGTTCTCTTATCTGTTTGGAAAGGCTTGATTGAAGACACTGAGAACAAGTGTGATTTAGAATGGGATGAGAAATGTGGAAGAATGAAGGAAAACTGATGGTAGATGAAGAAAAAAGAAAGAGAGGAAACAGGTGAACTAGAGACCAGTCCACAGCAGGAGGACATCCACAGAGATGTGTACCTGTGTCCATGTGTGGTTGTGTGTCTCCATTCACCCAGCTTCTCTGTGGTCTCGCTGGCAGTCTGTGGCATCTAGTGCTTGAGTAATCCTCCTGGGAACATTCAGAAGCTGCCAAAGTGCCATCCAGCTCCTCTTTTCACTCTTTACCACCCGTGCTTGTCTATCTCTATCTCTCTATCTCTCTTTTTACACTCATTCAGCACTCCCCCTTTTCTTTCTCTAGCTGTTGCTTTTATTCCAGTCCTTCCAAATTACAGTAATATCACCCAATTTCATTTTTTTACTCAATTTTACTGTATTTGTTTGCCAACTTTTCTCTCTGGGCTTTGAATCGTGATTTGTCTTTTTCTTGTAACTCTATCACAGCTGTGAGTCTTCCCAATATGGGGAAGAAGGTGATTCATCATCTGTTTTTTTTTCCTTTCCCTCTTGTAGTTCTGCCTATAGAACCAATGTTTTGGTTCTCAGAGAGCTGGACAGTTAAGCCTTTCCCATGGGATGACCAAACAAAGAGCCCAGCTCCCTTCACTTCTGTATGACTGCACAGGAACAGAATCATAGGCATTCACTAGCGGGACTGCTGCTGGGCAGCAAAATGATAGATCTCTGCTGGCCACGAATGAGGCACTTCTTCATTTTTGCAATAAGACACCAATATAAACTGCCCAATTAATCTCTGATGATGTGCAGGAGAAGAAGCAAAACCACCCACGTGGTGCCATTTAAGTTTACAGTTTATCTCATGTAATGTAAATTTTGTCTCAGAATAATATTTTGTACTGCTGGACTAGAATTCTCCTTAATGAGGGTTCTGACAGCAGAGGTAAAGAAAGACACCTTAACTCCATCATACAAAAACAATACAGTGAAAAAAGTTTACATTTATTTAAATATAGTAAAATTAATTGTACAGTATTATTAGAATTTCTGCCACCACAGCGTAAGGCCTCTGTATATGTGCTGGAAAGGTGCTCTATAGGCTACTCATAAACAGCAACAAAGTAAAATGGTGCTACTTTATGTACTTTTTTTGTGCTTTGCAGGCTGGTACATTGCCTCATTGCTACACTATTGTGAAATAAAAAAATTGTAATAGTGGCTTATTAAAATTCATATCATGTAATTAGATGTCATTTTAGCCTTCTAGTGTAATTTAGTGCTTGCAATGTTCTTGGCCCTGTGGCCCATTACTAAACTATCTGAATTTTGGGTTTGGTCCCATCTGGTAGACATGGGTCAGAAGTTATTGGTAGATTATCAAGGATGCGTACTGAAAGCCTGCCAGTGCCATCACATTCTGAAAGTTACATAAATACAGATAAGTTTCCTCACATACTGACTTGATCTGCTCTGCCTATTATATGCAAATCTGCAGTTTTCGATTCCTGTTTTGACCTATATTCTGCATCATATTAGATAACTGCTCATAATTAATATTGGAGGTCACCACACTAGCTGGGGGGGGTGCGCACATGAGGTTTGAGTCAGCATTTACTGGTACAGCAAAGGCCTCATCCCTCCCACTCGCTTCATCACTGCCACTGTCCTCCTCCTTGCAAAAACTTCAAACCACCCACATCCCATTGGCACCTGCTACACTGCAATTCAGGTCAGCAGGGGGAGTCACAAAATTACTCCAATAGTGATTGGTAATGGGAAGAAGAGGCAGGATAGATGGGGTCTCATTTTCTTTCTTTTTTTTCCTTCCTGGCACCAAAGACCATGCCACTATGAACAATCATCCCATTGTGTGGCGACAAAAGAAACATAAT